CGAGAAAAACACATCCAAAAAGTCTGATTGTGTCTGAAGTGAATTTTTCCCTTTGTGTCATCAAAGCCTGACATGTTCGGTTAAAATAACCTTTAGAAAGTGCTTGGGTTGATGTGCTGTATGCAAACGAGCAAAGGATCTCTTAATCAGCAGTTCAGAGAGACTGGAATATCACTCACAGACAATGCAAAACAACTTAATGCATTTCATTACTTTGCATTTAGAGTGGAAAGGTGATGAACACATCAGTCTCTCTGAGTGCAGTCTCCTGCAGTTATTCCGGGCTTTTTACTGACATATGGACTTGTCACCTGTATCTTTATGGGGAAAATAGCTTTGAAAGAACATGTTTCAAACAGGTGCCTCTTCTCTGTGTACAGTCAGTAAGCAGTTCTTAGCTTATTCCAGTGGAGCAGGGAAGCACATTTTAAGTAATAGAAGACAGTTTTAAGGGTTATGTAGCTTACAGGTTCAATTTATGAACCAGCTGGTGAATCGCTTTGAGATTTCTTTGTCAATCTTGCTAAAGAATTCTGGTGTCTAGAAGATTCATTATCAATACACAGTCATGCAGGTCAATGTTCTTTTCATTTGTGAAGCAAATGACATCAAACATGGCATTGTAAAGCCTAAAAATCCAATGAAAGTGTGTAGTGCTCATCCCCACTTGATGAGACCAAGGTATTTTGCTGCCTCAGAGTAACGCTTTGGAATATTTAATTTTCACTTTCTTTTTTTACAATAAACCACATGGGATCTCTATTTTGACACCGTTTTACCTTGAAGTTAAACTTATCAAACCCTGGGAGAGTTATGATGGTGATTAGGGGTTTTGAGTCTTTCCTCCATGAGATAGATTACACTTGCAAAATGCTTTTGGCTGACTCACTAAACAATGTTTAAATGCACAGGAAATGCTTCTGTGACAAATGTGTACTGGATTTATATTTCAGCTTCAGAAAACTGTGTTCTTTCCGTTTGGCTCCCATAATCAATCTATTGTGTTAATAACAGTGTTTCAATTCATGAACAGGAGGCAAGCCGAGGATTCAAATGCTACTGAGGAAGGGCTGTACCATGCATGTCTCAGCTGCAGCTGGTAGATGGTGTTGAAAGTGTGGGTTCCTGTTGTGCAAGATGGGTGCCTCTGGAAGGAAATGACATAGCTGAAGCTTGATACCATCTTTGTTGGACTGCTGTTGATATATGTAGTAAACCTGGGTGATACTACAGGGTTAGTGTCCTCTGGCTTTGTTTTTGAGAAGGTAGAGCCTGGTCTAGGGCAAGGGTGGGTATGCATGGACTTTGCTCTGAGAAATGCCCTCAAGGAGCAGGAATATGACAGCAATAGGAGCAGTTGTAGGGAGGCCTTCAAGAGCCCTTTCTTCAAGAGGGCTGGTAGTACTGCTGGAAATGAAAATGAGCAAGAGCAGATTCAGATGCACTTGATTATCTAATAACCTGTTTTAAGAAGCCCATCGGGTCACAGGCTTGTAATTCTCTCATTTCTGTAGCCTTCTGCTAAGAATACGGCATTTATAGAAGGTGAAAGACTTAAAGGATATCAAATTTGTGTTAGAAAACAGAAGCAGGGAAAACTCTTAGTATATAGGGAGTTTCAGATAAAGACAAACATGTAGTTTGAGGGCTTCAGGAGTGCCTAATTTGAGACTAGAGTGAAGCAGAGATGCGAAGTCTCATAGTTTTGTTGTTTAAGTTAAAAGTGGTGAATTTGGAAGATAGGACGAGGCTAGTCTACGGTTTGGCAGGCAATAGGAAGCAGGGCTGGAGTAGGCTAGTTTGATAAACCTAAGACTGGAATAAAGCTAGAGACAGTAAAAAGATGAAAAAATATCAGCAAATGGCTTTTACATGTTTGAAGTGACCAAGGGAGAATTTTGGTTTAGGGGTTCAGAGCCTGATGTTCCTGCCATCAACCAGGCTTGGTTTCCTCCCATAGAGAAATACCATCACCCTTACTTTGCAGTCATATCTCACATAAGTACTGTGAGGGAAAATGTATTAGGGATGTCAGTATTTGCATATTATGCTAATAAACTTCCAGGTGGGAGATGCACCTCTGCTTTCTGTGGGATAGGTTCTTTCAGCTCAGTCTGCATTTGTGTGTCAATATAAACTTGGAGTGTAATGTGTGGATTTCTGCTGGCAGCAGATGAGAGATCAGCGCTCCAAGCTCTCGTCAGTGCTCCCTGTAGCCATTTCCCAAAGAGCTGCCTCCACCTGAAAGGTAGATTTGTGTGTTTGTGCAATTATACAGTATTTCTGTGGAATGAAGTGTTGTGTCTCTATTTTTATTTTCTATCCTTGAGTGATTTTTTTTTTCCTTGAAGTATCTGCTCTTTCTTTACATGAAATGAAGATTGTGCAAAACTGAATTTCTTTTCTAGCTTTCTTGGAAGTTATAGCTTTTGAGAACAACTGGAGTGCTGACTGGGGAGCCACATTAAAAGAGTGTTGTTGCCTTTTCCTTTGGAGACAACTTCACATCTGTGTTCTGAAGTTTTTTCAAAGCCTTCTGTTGACAAGGGAAGCAGAAAATACTGAACCTGCTAAATTCAGTTTTTAGTGTGCTGTCTTCCATAGTGTCACATAGGGGAGAGCAATGACTGTTTCCCTCAGTAACTCTTTCCAGTCTGTTCTTCACTCGGGATGAAGAAACTTCTTTGATGGGAAGCTATGACCAAACCCTCCAGTCTATGGGAGGTATTTAGCAAAACTGCTTGGGCATTGCTGGATGTTCAGGGATAACATAATTCAAATGCATTATGTTTTCAAGCCTGGAAGTCCAGGTTCAGTGCTGCTTGTGAGGCTAACGTACAATTACTTTAATCACCATCTCAAGCACGTGACTGTGGGATGAAATGCTGAAGTGGAGACCTCATAGCAGCCTTCCAGTATCTGAAGGGGGCCTATAAGGATGTTGGGGAGGGACTCTTCATTAGGGACTGTAGTGATAGGACAAGGGTAACGGGTTAAAACTTAAACAGGGGAAGTTTAGATTAGATATAAGGAGGAAGCTCCTTACTGTGAGGGTGGTGAGGTACTAGAATGGGTTGCCCAAGGAAGTTGTGAATGCCCCAGGCCACATTGGACAGAGCCTTGGGTGAGATGGTTCAGTGTGAGGTGTCCTTGCCCATGGCAGGGAGGGTTGGAATTCGATGATCTTAAGGTCCTTTCCAGCCCTAACTATTCTATGATTCTGTGAAAGTAAAACATTCTGAATTTGCCTGTTCCCTGGTTTAAGTCAAGATCTCTCTGCCAGTGCAAAATGTTTTAAGACATCGTCCACACAGTTGTTTCTGTTAGAAGCTGAAATTTCTGAAGGATTTGAGTAGGTACATGCTGCTGGCTTGATCTGCTAAGTAGAAATCCTACTGTAGAGTTTGTTTTTAACCAGTTGCCTGTTCCGTCTACCCAGAATTATTCAGGATCCAAAGCACGTGATGAGCATATGGGAGATGCCCTGTTTGAGTGAATATGTAACCAATGGGAGCAGCTCCAGCAGAAAGCAGTAATAGGCTTAGTTGTAAGTGCATTTGCTGGGACTGTGGGGGAAGAGTTAAAAAAAAATAGAAACGAGACTTCATCCAGAATCTCCCACGAGTGTCAAAAAACCCACCCTAGCTCAGTTCTGCACACAAGCATGACAGGGATTTGAAAAACACAACAAGCCCAAAACAAATGCAGTTCCAAAGGTTGTGTGACAGGCGTTTCGTAAGAAAACTCTCTTCTGCCTTGGCTCTCTGCCCTGTGTGCCCACATAATTTCAGGGATACTTTTGAGAAGTATAGACAAGAGCAGAGTTTTCAAAGTGAAAAACTGGAGGTTTTCTTTGTTTTCAGCTGCAAGAGATGGATTCGTGGGTGTCTAAAAAATATATAGCAGTGTTGGTGTTAGAGCGTTTCTTAACTTGTGCAAGTTGTTCTCCTAAACTTTCTATGACTGAAGTGGTGAGTTGAACAGTTACAGTAAATAGAGTAATATTTTGATTGGTATGAAACCTTTTATTTCTTCTTGATGTCTAATTAGCATAGCTCTGAATGTCAAATATTTATCCAGTGTTGTGTTTACTTCAGTGGGACTCCATCTGGCTCTGCCTTCCTTGGAGCTTATTCTTCTACATAGGAACTTGCCCATACTCAGAGCTGGTGCTGGATCCCAGTTGTTTCCATCAGATCTCTTGAACTGGGAGGGAGCTCTGTCCTCCAGCAAATCTGAGTGGAAGTATTGCTGTGCAAACTCACAGATGAACCAGTCTGTAACTCCTTCTGCTTTGTGAGCGTAACTCTGAAGTGCAGGCTGAGAAATGTCATACCAACTCCTTACTAAGAGCTGTTGATTGCTTGTGAGTGGTATGTATTTATTAAATGAAGCCGTAATATGCCTGTAGACTACCAGCAATGTATTTCCTTGGGACAAAATCTCCCATAACAAAAATGATAACAGCGTGTGGTATAGAAGCCTCTTGTGTTCTTGGAGACTTCAGTAGCAACTGCATTACAGACTTGAATAGAAGCATAGGGCAGTCCTCTGGTTGTGACTTCATCTTGAGTTATAATACAACCTACAACCCTTCAGTTAGGCAGTTATGCCTAATGCTTATCCTTAGGCCAAAATTTCAGACTCTTCTTGTGCCTCTCCTATCTGGGATACGATGGTAGTGTAAAAAAGCTTGTATTTCTTAGTATGCTTGCTGCATTATGGTGCTCACCTAATTCTAGTTTCATAAATGGATCTTCTGCATCTAATGTATGTTTTGTGTATATCCCATAGCCTGAGTGAGTGGGGGAAACTGAATCAAGCAGTGTAAAATCTGTGGAGTGTCTGATCAATTTGCTGCTTTTTGCATTGTGGTAATTTATTTTTAGTTTGCTGTCTTCAGAGACAGCTTTTTTCTCTGCAAAATAGTGTGCATAAGAATGAAATTCTGACTGAAAATATCAGTATAACTGATTTTCCATATGGATTTCTACTTTCAGGTATTGGAAATTTGACTGAAGCCTGTGTATCATGCATTGGAGAAGGTAACAGTTCTTTAATACTAATTTTATTTATAACATCATGTTAAATGTCAAAATCTTTGCATTGTTTGTTCCTTACACTGAGGAATCTGCTCCTTAGTTTCTCAGTATGCTCACAGTGGGTTTTGTTTGCCTTTTTTCAAAGAATATGTCTGAAGTCTGTATGTAAGTTCTCATGGTGAATATACCACGTTTGTGCAGTTTTACACTGGAAGATTTTATAGAAAACATAGAACAGCTTGCCCTCAGAAAATGTACCATCATTTAAAAGAATTGCATATATCTTAAAGAATGAATGTTTTATAAAAGGGTATTGACGTTCTTAGCAATAGTGAGGCATTTTTCTGGTTAGGCTCTTATTTTTCCTGTCAAGAGGTTTTCAGAATTCATGTTTAGTCATTGAATAATTGACTCCACAGTTGAATTAGCCAAACAAAACTGTGGCACTTCTGACACTCAAAACTTTCTTAATAGCATCTTAGCTTGAATGTCCAAAGGAATCAATGTTGTTGTTTGAGAGGTGGGTTATCTGTTGGTTTTGTCCTTTTTTTTTGTTGTTGTTGGGTGGTTTGCTTTTTTTTGACGTGTTTCTTGGGCTGTTTTTTCACTGTGTTGCTTTTGCCCTACCTCAAAACAGCCCTACAAGCTTGACTTCCAAATAGCCAGGCTCCATGGATAAAATTGCTGGCAAAGAGCAACATGCTTTTAAGTTGTGAACTATGTTATGTGATCTCCAAAAGAGAAGAAAACCTTTTCAGAGCTTACAGTGGGATAGCTAAAAAAATATAGTCTTCCTTCTTAGTTTTAGACATTGTTGCCCTCTCTGTTCAGGGAGATTACTGGTGCTTTCTGATCAAAATTTTGAATTTCTTGATTCTTCTTTTCCTTGGAGTAATTCAGAAGTTTCTCCTTAGTCCTGGGTGGTGTTTACAATGAAAACAGAATTACTGCTGTAGATCAAACAAACTATTCTCATTCAGCTTAGCCCTTCTGAAGTTTGCAAAGCATCTTTGTGTGAGGTTTTTCAAAGACAGTGTGATAAATTTTGTGATATATCACTTTGTAGTGGTCTGAAAGGAAAAGCTTATTTCTTAATATGAAAGATAACTTTGAATAATGGACTCTTCATCCCTTTGGACAGTGTTCCTAAATTAGCCTCAAAGCCCTTTCTGAGGTGAAATCTCATTTTCAGGTTCCCCATCGTGAAAAGGAGATACTGATACCCATTTCATTTGGAAAGTGTTTTCAGTCTGCTGATGAAAAGTACTTTTGAAGGGTTAGGCAACCTTGATTAATTGAACCTGAATAAGAAGTGCAGGATCAAATCTCAGGATATTGTTTTTATGCTGCAGGTTTGTGTTCTGCATTCCAAATCCTAAAACACCAGTTTGATAGCAAGTGTCAGCAACTTGAGAGTAGACAGCTATAGGCATACTCATAATGGCTTGCAAATGCTGACACCACCATAGACAGAAGAACGGAAATTGCTTTCTGTTTACAAAACAGCATAACTATTTGGTAAACACTTCTCATTAGCAAGAATGGGATAAGAATTTGTGTTAAATGCCTCACTTCTGTGATATAACCCCTGTGGCCTTGTAGAAAAGTGGTATTTAAAAAGAAAAAAAGAAGCTAAGCATGCATAAGTATACAGTGAATATGAGTGCTTGAAAGTTCAGTGATGCCATATGTAATGTTTAGGCCTGATAACAGCACCAGAAGCCAGAATCCTGTTCTTGTGGTGTATGGGGGGGGGGGGGGGGTGTATGGGAAACACACTTTAGGGAAGTGAGGGGTCATACGTGTTATACTTAAAAGAAGTGCACTTATGGATACTGCAAATTCTGGGTTCATCCACATTTCTGCATTATGGGAGGGAAGAATCTGCTAAGCACATTACTAAGCAGCATGTGGTCCTTCCTAAGCCATAAGCAAGGCATAGAGGAAGCAGAGTTTGGGGCTTTGCTTCCGGTCTGATGAAGAGAAACTAGCTGTTGTTTATCTAAGTGACTCGGTAACTACAGATTTAAAAAGAAACATTTGTGCATTGCAATAGTATAATTATAAAATCCTACTTTTATTACCTGTCAAGCTAATTAAAACAGCTATAGGCTAACAGTCATCTTAGCTTGTAGCATCTGTGCGTCGTATTCAACAACCAGGCTTGCAGTGTAATTTTAAGTGTAACTATTACCAGCAGAGACAGTGTGGAGTTGCAAAGAAATGTCCTTGCCTGTGTAGGAATACTGAGTGTGCTGGGCAGTAGCTTTAGGAAAGGAAATTATAATAAATATATTTTCCGCTTTACAGTCTGAATAGGAGTTAATTGCAGCATGGTTTGAAGCTCTAGGGCCTTTCTTGCTCCACTAGCATCCAGTACCAAAGTGGTAGCTCCCTGTTTGCTTGGTGTATGAATGTTTGTGTCTTTAGCTGTTGGCTACTTGAATCTGGAGAGCTGCCACTCATTCCAGGTGGAAATGTGCTCAGTTGGAAGTGCATGGGTCTGTGTGTAAGAGGATTACTTGGATATGGGTTTACTGCAAGTGACTTTTAGATCACTTCTTCAAAGACAGGAGTTGTCTCTGATCTTCTGGTGTCCCCTTGCTTCTCGAAATCCATACAAAATAACTGTCCTCCTTCACAGGCTATTTATTGCCAGCTATGTCTACCACTGTGTCCTCTTACTTTTTCCCTAATTCTCCTCTGAAGATCTGCTATGTCCTTTTCTCCTTTACTATCTCCTGGTTTCCTCCCATCGTGTTTTCTTTCTCCCCCTCCTCATCTTCTGTGCCTCTTTTCTAGCCCTCTCCTTGGATACTTGCTTCTCCTATGTTAGTTGGGTTTCTCATGCCACCAGTGCTCCCCTCTGCATTGAAACTCCAAACAGTTAAAACTGAATCAATTGTTCTATAGTAATTTGAAAAACTGAATAAGCAAAATTGCCATTTTACGGTGGATTTAGGTGGAGTCTTTCAAAAAAAGCATGAGCTGATTCTGCTCTCCTTGAAGGTGCACCTCAGAGATGGCTTGCTAATTTTACAGCGGAATGAAACGACAATTTTGGTACATATAACTTGGATTATAATTGATTGATGCAGGGACAGCATTTTGCTTGAGATTTTTTTTTCCTTATGTAACAGTAATATTTATGGTGGGGTACTCAGGACTTGACTCTTCATCATAAGAACATGATGAATACAAAAGCACCAATCAGGTACTTGAACAAAACTGACGATGAAGCTATGTTAAATGCCCTGGGCACCTGCCTGGATCTCTTCCTTGCAAGCAGGTTTTGGAAGATGAGCTGTTACCTGATACGCATCATTCCAGTGACAGCTTTCTCTTGCAAATGTGCAAAACTTTCAGGCTGTATTGTCTTTCAAAATGTGTTATCTGTGTTCCTGGAGTGGGTACATAGGGCCGAAAATAGGAGCAGTGCATATCTGGAAAGGCAACGATGTCGTTATTCACTAAAGCTGATGCAAAAAATATTTCTGCATGCAGCAAATCTGCCCTTCTGCACTTGTTTCATATTGTAAAGAGATTATCGTGGCCTTACAAGAAGGTTAAGATGTCATGACGTTTAATATACTCTGAAAATAGTCTTGTTAAAGGCACTGTTGCTTGTGATTGGTGATGCAGGTTATGATGGTAGTTCTAAATCTTGAGTTTGGGTGTGTGCAAATTGCTGTTTTCCAGCCTTTTCAAGTTTGCTAACTTTATCTTATAGTGCAGCACATATTTAGGGATTGCATATTGCATTAGCCTTTGATTAAGGGGAAAGTAACTTTGATAAAATGCCACTAAAAGTGGTTCTGTAGACTAGCTTGGAATAATTTATCAGTCATTTTTCATGACTGAGAGCATATTTTGGACATGAGGGTCACCCTTTGAGGATTAATTTTCTGAGATAAACAGCTAATGGCTGTTGGATGATTATGGTCAGAAGCAATTATTATGGTATACTGTTCATTACAACAATAAAGGGTCACTAAACTTAGTAAGTTTTGAGCCATCGCTTAAGTAGTAAGGTCAAGATGCACCAGCCTTGATTCAAAGGCATTATTGAGTGTTAGAATTGCTGACGTTTCACCGCCTGCTCTGGCAGTTTCTTTTGCCTGTTTTGCCCTTTTTTTTTTTCCTATTAACTGAACTTTCTGCACCCTTTAGGTGAAGGTGCCAGCTGGCAGTTTTATTGGAGTCTCCTGTAAATAGCAGAGTAAACATGTCTATTCCTGATATTGTGAAGAGCATTTCACAGCTGCCTTATGTTTATAGGTGGGTGTCACTGGCTGCTTCTTGCCCTCTGGGCTTGAGATTTCCTTTCTTCTGTCTCCTGTTTTTTTAATTTCTGCAGCCCTGAGGTCAGGTGAGCTTAAAGGTGTAGAGGAACAGAATATTGTGAGAACTACCGAGCTGCTAAACCATGGAGCCTTCTCATGGATGTAAAAGTGGTAGAGTCTGGACGCAAAAGGAGTATGTCTGAGATAAACTAGTTCTATTTAATAAAAAAGGGAGAACATTAAACAACAAAGATATAGGTAGCTGCTGTCAGAAGCGCTGCTTAAAAGGAATGAGAAACTGTCTTATGGAGGGATTAGTGTACTAAGAAATAAACTGCTGAATCACTGGAAACAAGCAAGCAATACAGAGTCTAGAGGCTCTGCAAAAAATAAAATGGCTCCTGTAATTCAATTAAAATCACAGTAGGATTTGCCATTTGAAATGGTACATCTGTCATCCTGTATCTCCTGGTGCCGGTGCCTCAAGGGATACTTAAGTGAGTGTAGAGCTCCTGGAAGAATGCTGGAGTGACAGTTCTGGAATGACACAATACTCCATTTACTCATAGGAGATGAATTTTCCGACACACCTATCGAGTTTGGACTGCTGCTTGATCTTCATGCATTTGACACTTTTTAGTAGACTGTTAATCTGAACTGAGAGTTGTAGTTTGTCCTACAAACTGGAAGCAGACCACTATATGCTCTCTTGGAGATTAT